TTTTTCTTTGGAATAATGATTGTTTTCTTAGATTTTTTTTTTCCTTACTGATTCTTGAATTTTGATGTTTGTTTGCTAGACCACAGCAGTTTACATTTCAAGATTCAAATAATTCTGTAGATTCATCAGCTTCTGATAGTGACCCTATGAGACAGAGATTTTCTATAAAAGCACACTCACGATTACCCTACCTCATTATTTCTGATGGATACATGGTCACAACCCTTCGATTTCTTGATAACCTGTCTCCATCAGTGCTCATGAGATCCCTTCTACTCGATTCAACCCAGAGGCTTGAGAAAATATACCAAAGTGTGGTATTGTCTAAGGTAAAGTGCTTTTTGCTATCATTAATAAAAGTTGACTTCTTTTCAGATTTAAAAACTACACTGACAGTAATGCCTTTGGATTGTATATAGTTGTCTGTAGAGCTTTTTACTGCTTATAATAGAATTACAGATAAAATTCTGCTCTTGGAAATCTGTCTTCTGTAGCCAAAAGGCAAAGGACTGAACTTGCGATCACTGGATTCCCTAAGGCTGAGCCTGTTAAAACACCAAGGAAATGAAAGTTCAGCTGATTCTACTGTCCCCAGATTCTTGCAGGTAGAGGAAACAATGAAGTTAAATGAAAGAACTGCAGATTTGCAGGTATTTAGTAGCAGTGTTTTATTTACTTTGAATAATTACATATTGACTTCATTCCAAGAAACATATTTTGTTTTGTTTTTCTTTTGTTAATAAAGGGAAGAGAAATTTGAGAACACCAAAGTAATTCTATCTGTAAAGTATTAAGTAGTATTAAGTGTAATTTTTTTTACTCATGTTTTAGGATATTGAAGCAGAAGAAACTAATGAAGGCATATACTTTCCAAACAACTCATTCTCTTTTTGGAACCAAAATAGTGATCCATTGTTCAGTAGCGCCAAGGAGGGAAGGTTGGAATTTGCTTCTATGTTTGATACAATACATGCAAAGGATAATACTGAGGAGACAGACAGAACCATTACAGAATTGCATTCTGTCCAGAAAAAGCTCCTTGCAGCATGGACTATAGGAATTTCAAAAAACGTGACAGAGAAAAATTCAATGTTAAGTTACACAGTAGTTTGTATCACTCATTTTTTCTACATTCTTCAGTTTATAAAATGTCCTTTCCCCAAATTTGATCTTTTTTCAAACAAGAGCCCAAGACATAATGCATGGGTACTTTGTATCTTTCAACTTTTTCACCAGTGTTTATCAATCCAGTATTGGGATATGAGATACAGACAAGATGTGGGACATTTGGTAAAGCTGACCTCAAATACTGTAAAGCTTTTGCTGACTCAGCAACAACAGGGTCAGTTATTCTCAGAGAGGCTTTTAGCCTGTTTTCATTTACTCAAAATGGTAGCTGAGAATTTAAATGGCATATATAGTCTTCAACCTGAAGCTTCAACGGATGGAAGTAGAACAGCAAATCAAGACTCACTGGTGGCACCTATTTTTCGAATATTTCAAGATCGCGGTTCTCAGAAACACCTGTCTTGGAACTCATCTTTCAAGATTTGTCCTCAAGTAGTGAATCTTGTTCAACAGCCAGGACACAGGTATAATTACTTTAGTGTTAGGATACCATCAGCATTATAGATTTTTTTCCTT